TCCCCCGAATGAAACCACCAGCTTGTTCAATTCTGAGACGAAGTTCGTCAACCGTATGCACTTCAGTTTTGTACACTAAGCGTTTCAGTTCTCCCCAAAGAAAAAAATCACATGGTGTTAAGTCTGGAGATCGCGGAGGCCATGCTACGGGTCCATTACGTCCGATCCACCTATTCGGAAATAATTCATTCAAAAACTCACGCACTTCGCGTCTAAAATGGGGCGGTGCACCATCGTGCAGAAACCACATTGATTGTCTTACACTTAATGGCACATCTTCTAACAAGGAAGGCAAAATGTTGCGTAAAAAGTCTAGATATTGCATCCCGTCCAATCGATTGGGAGAATAAATGGTCCAATGAGCATACCGTTCACCATGCCAGCCCAAACATTCACCGAAAATGTTTGTTGAAAATGTGCCCGACGGACAGCGTGCGGATTTTCTACTGACCAAACATGAGTGTTGCGAAAGTTATTCACCCCATTACGCGTGAACGTAGATTTGTCTGTCAAAAAAAAGCACTTCAAAAGTCCGGATTATTATCATGTTGATGCAACAACCACTCACAAACCGCACTCTTGCTGGAAAATCGTCAGGTTGAAGGGCTTGTACAGGTTGGACGTGAAACGGATACAGCCCCTCTTCACTCAGCGTTTGCCACACTTTAGTTTTTGATACTTGCACTTCTCTAGCCACGTCTCTAGTGCTTGTTGAGGGATTCTCGTCTACGCGATTCAGTAGTTCTTCCTCAACTTGCACCATTCGTGGTTGTCTAGGCCTCCCACTGTGCCCACCTCGAAATTCCTCCAAATGGCCCGTATCCCTGACTCTCTGGACCAGGTACACAAATCTGCGGGGCCTTGGATGATGTCGTCTAGGGAAACGATCTGCATACACTCGCGAAGCCTGTGTAGCATTTTGAAGACATTCGCCATAAATTAACAACATATCAACGAGTTCATTATTGTTGTATGTGTGTGACATTATTATTATTTTTTTTTAAACGCAATCGATTATACGGGTTCGTTTACCTCTACACGCGTGACCGTAACCGTCGGTTGAAGGTTACAAACTGACCTGACACACTGACCCCGACCCAGTTCTGTTGTCGGGTTGAGCCAGTGACCTTGTACCACTCGGTGATGTCGCGGGTCGCGGCTTCAGGACGGTATTCAGATATTTTGATGTTGCAGAGCCCTTTATCTCGGTTCCCTTAAGACATTAGTGTATATGGTACTAAAAAAAATTGCTTATGTTTTAAAGATCTACACGTCGTGTAAAGGAAAACCCCAACTTGCGGACACCCTGTATATACTAAATATTATATAAAAATTTATTGCACAGACATTTTACCTCTAAAACCGGGGAAACATATTTGTTGTTATTTATGATTGAAGGGGCAACGTGAGTATCAATGATACCGTCTAATTCCCACATTTTAGGTTCGACATTTTCTTTTACATGCTGATACATTTTCTCACATATTCGGTGTTATTCTTGTATGAAAAATATTTTTAATGTCAGAAAATTTAAAATATTTATTATCTGCTGCAACATATTTTTTTATGTCTGCCCAAATGAGCTCAATCGGATTGGTTTGTCATTGGTTTTGTGTCAGGGCTCGACCTATTTTGCCCAATAACAGTTATGTTCCCTCTCTTTCGAAATGTATCAGTGTGCTGATCACGCGATGATCACTGTTTTGGTTTAGTCTCTTTCTTCCATACATACGTAGTACATCATTTTATTCATACCATTAAAGTGGTGTAAGTTAACTTCGAGACGGTAATAAATAAGCTACTGTATTTGCAAAACGAATCCAAAATTACGCAACGGTAGCGCCAACGGCAGACTGACAGTGAAACCAGCCGGCGCATGGTCATCTCAAATCTTGTAACCCATAGCCGGGGCCTTGAAATACCATCTAACCCAAAGACGTACGAAGTACCAACGGCACTACCCAACTGAAATTACCATCTAACTGTACTCGGCGTCGGACTTTTTACGAAGTATATCTTATTAACTGCCCGCGAAAGAGATGATGGCCGTTTGGCATATGGCCAGATTCCTCATGGCGTAGGAACATATGGCGAGCCATCGAGATGAATTTATTCTAGTTTGTTCACCTCATCTGTAATTTTGAATGTACACGAGGGACTGGAAGGAGGTCAATACCGATGATGTCATCGACGGCGAGATCGTCATTCTCCTTCATATGACAAAAATGGCGAGGAAGTATTGTAATCGCGAAAAATTTGGCAATCGAAATGTTATTTACATCACGAAAAACGATGTCACTCATTTCTGTCGGTTTGTCTGTCTATCGCTCTGACTGCTAATTCCACTGGACAACAAATTTTAGTTTTTTAATTGTATCTTGTGGGAAAAGTGCACTTCTTTGTTAATTTTGGAACGCTGAATCCAAAAATGACAATGAAATAAAAAAATTAGTTGCGGTTTAGAAAAAACTTTTTATTTTTAAGGATATATTAAAAAAAGTAACAAGATTCAATATACTTTAAGAATCACTATATGCGCTGTC